TGCGGCTCCCCCGTGAGCCCCGTGGGCCCGCGAGCCGCCAGCGAGACCCGGAGGGCGGCGCACCGGACCGCGGTGGACCCGCGGTGGTTCGCGGCCTTTCTGGGCCCGAGGCCCGTTCGGCGCCTTGCGGTCGCCCATGCAGCCACCAGTGGCCGCGCAAGTGCTCCTCGTCCTCGTAAATCCCCACGAAACGCACTGGCAGTGATCGGTCGACGCGCAATGGCCCGAAAGTCCCCGAACAAGCTGTTTCGGGCTAATCCGCGGGCTGAAATCATCTCCGGACCGTCGTCGGCGCCCCATCGCACGGCGTTGAAGCCGCGGGCGACTCCGAGGACATGTTCGACGACTTCGTAGCCATTGTGCCCAAGTATTGGTAGCGAAACTGGCTCGGCGTCCGCGGTCTCGGCGACCGGCGCGATCCTCGTTACGGCGTTCGCGGTTCTCCAGAAGGACCCGACGCGCGCCGCGAAGGTAACGCTGCGCGACGCGTTTCTATCCGGCATGACGAGGGACCTCGTCGAGGTCTGCACCATTTCTGAAGACTTTTTTTCCATAGCCTCGCGGCATTTCGTATCGTCGTCGCGGCCGCTGCAAATGTGCGTCGTGCGGCGTCGCTTCGTCGAGATGGCCCGCGCCCGTTGGCGAGGACGCAGTCGGTAAGGTGGTGCCGGTGTGTGCCAATTCTTAGGCCTGGGCGCGGCGGTGGCGTGGAGCACGGCGGCGCGCCCCAAAGCCGAGCCAGCCGAAGCGCCGAGCCCGGGATCGAGGTTTTTTGAAGAGCGGTGCGCCGGGGTTGCGGCCGGCAAGTGAATGCTTGCACTGCAAGTTGCATCCGCGCCGCGGCACTTATGCCGCGCCAAGCTTCGCAGCCAGGCCCTGCAGCTGCGATGGTAAGGCGCGAGCTCTCTCGAGCGCGCGCGCGTTTCGGCCGTCGGCGAGGCCCGGGGCGCGGGCGCGCGCGCTCCGGGTCGGGAGCGCGCGCGACCGCGGCCCGGGCCCCGGCGACGCGGCCGGCGGCGCTAGAGGCCCTCGTTGAAGAAGACGCGCGGCGGCGCGTCGCGGGCGCGGAGCTCCGCGGCCACCCCGACGTCGAGCCAGGGCGCCCCGAGCGAGGACCGCTGGGGCACGAGCGAGCAGACGAGCGGCGTGCTCAGCGCGAGCGTCGCGAAGCAGAGCGACGCGTAGAGCGGGACGGTGACGGCGGGGTTCGTGGAGTGGGCGACGCGCCAGCCGCGGGCCTTGGCGGCGCCGACGAGCGCGGGCGCGACGACGAGGTCCGCGCAGCCGTTCAGAATGCGGCTCGCGGTCACGGCGCCGACGGCGAAGGCCGCGGCGGCCCGGCTCCTCGCCTCGAGCGCGTCGCCGCGCGCGTCCTCGACGACCAGACCATGGCGGAGCTCGCCGGACCGCATCGACGGCACGTTGACGATCGACGCGACGGAGATGGACGCCGCGGGGACGAGGACGGACCAGCGCGCCGGCAGGGACCGCTTGAGCGCGACGGCGGTGGCCATGGACCCGAACGTCGCGCCGAGGTACGGCGCGAGCACGTCGTCGCGCTCCGCCTCGTCGGCCGCGTCGCGGTTGCTGTAGTTGCAGACGGCCATGAACGACTGGTTCGCCCACTGGAGGAACAGCGTGCCGGGCAGGCTCCGGTGCCAGACGAGCATGCACGCGGCGAGGATCGCGCAGCCCGGCGCCTGGAAGCACATGCGGCCCACGAGGGGGATGCGGTCGCCCGCGTCCGGGTGGAAGGCCGACTCGTAGAGCGTCGTCGCGCTCCCGTCGTCGACGTAGGCGGCCTCGGCGGCGTCGAGCTCTTCGGCCGTCGCCAGGCAGTTGAGCGGATTCGTCACGGCGCCGAAGTGCCAGAGCCGGGACACGAAGCCCGCCGACGCGTCGTCGGCGAGCCGCCGCTTCTGGGCCTGGAGGCTCATGCGCGCTTCCTGCGGTCCTTTCAGTGCACGCTGCCGCTCGAGCGGCGATCGTCTGCTGCGGTCCTTTGAGTGCGCGCTGCAACTCGGCGATCGACTACGCCATCGGCTGCACGCGCAGCCGATCTGTCGGAAGGCAGCAGCCCATAGTGAAACTGCCCTGTCGACTGCATGGTGCTTTGATGCTGCCGTGCCACTCACTCTCCGCATGCGCCGGTGGTCGTCGTCGTCCGTCGCAGTGCGCGCCCTCTCGTTCGCCGCCGTCGCGCACGCGTTCTCGCCGACGCGCACGTTTACGATGGCGTCGCGGTACGCCGCGCATCCGGCGACGCGCGTCGAGCAAGCCAAGGAGGCGGGCCCGAAGGACGGGCCCAACGAGACGATCCGGGCCCACCTCTTCTGCAAGCCCGCGACGGACGGCGTGTCCGTCGGCGATTGCCCCTTCACGCACTACGCGCGCATGGCGCTGGCCATCGCGGGCATGGAGTACATCGAGACGCCGCTCGCGCCGGGCGACAAGCCCGGGTGGCATCTCGAAGAGCACGGCGGGTCCATGCCCTGCTGGTCGCCGCGGGGGCTCTACAACGGCGAGGGCGCCATCTCGGACAGCGGCGCCATCGCGAAGATGGCATTGCCGGCGTCGGCCGCGGACGACGCGGCGCTGGGCGCGTGCGGCGGCTTGTTCCTCGGGATCGCCAAGTACCTGAAGAACTCCGACGACGCCAAGGACGGAGAGCTCAAGGCGGGCCTCGACGCGGAGCTCGCCAAGCTCGAGGCGCTCCTGTTCGCGACGGACGGCCCCTTCCTCGCGGGCGCGGCGCCGGGCGTCGCCGACTGCTCGGTCGCGACGAAGCTCTACGTGCTGCTCGTCGGCGCGGGCCACTACAAAAACTACGTCCTCGACGCCAAGTACCCCAACGTCGCGCGCTACTACGCGACCGCGTCGTCCCACCCGGCCTTCTACGCGACGCGCTACCCGGAGAGCGAGATGCTCGCGGGCTGGGGCGAGGCGCGCGGCGGCGGCCACTGAGCGGCGTTTCGGGCGCGGAGTAGCCTTGTAATGGGCTCCTTCTTCCCATTCGGATCGGCGTCCAGTTCGGCGACGCGTGCAATGAGTAGCTGCAACATTGGTGCAACATCGATTCAAAATTCGCTTTTTGACACACGAGAATTTCTTTGTGAGAATCACCGTGCGATGATGCTGATTGGCGGTGCCATAGCGCGCCGCGCGCGCCGCGCCACCGCTGCCGCCGCCAACCTACGGCGACCCCTGGCGTCCCAGGCCGCCGCCGCCAACGCGGCGCCGCCGGCCGGCGAGGACGTCGACGAGGCCCTGCGGAGCGCTCTGGCCTTCGACTACGCCAAGGGCCTGCCCTTCGTGAGCGACCTCGACGACGCGTGGTTCAGCGGCCGCGCGGCGTTCCCGCGGCCCCTGCCCATGTTCCGGCTCCTGGACCCGGAGGTGCCGGGCGCGCTCGCGGCGGGCGCCGAGGAGCGCGCGGCGACCGCGGCCGCGGACGAGTTCCTCTGCCGGCGCATGTACGAGACCATGGTGACGCTCCAGGCGCTGGACGACGTCTTCTACCACGCGCAGCGCCAGGGGCGCATGTCCTTCTACATGCAGGCCGCCGGCGAGGAGGCCGCGACGGTCTGCAGCGCCGCGGGCTTGGAGCCCGACGACGAGGTCTTCGGCCAGTACCGCGAGCAGGGGTGCCTGCTCTGGCGGGGCTTCGGCCTCCAGGCCATGGCGGACCAGTGCATCGGCAACGTCGACTCGTTGGACAAGGGGCGCGTCATGCCCATCCACTACGGGTCCAAGGCGCTCCGGTTCCAGACGATCTCGAGCCCGCTCGCGACGCAGATCCCGCACGCGACGGGCGCCGCGCTCGCCGTCAAGCTCGCGAAGGAGGACCGCGTCGTCGCCTGCTACTTCGGCGAGGGCGCGGCGTCCGAGGGCGACGCGCACCCGGCGCTCAACTTCGCGGCGACGCTGCGCGTGCCCGCGCTGTTCATCGTGCGGAACAACGGCTACGCGATCTCGACGCCGTCCGACGAGCAGTTCGCCGGCGACGGCATCGCGCCGCGGGCTCTAGCGCTGGGCATGGACGCCATCCGCGTCGACGGCAACGACGCGCTCGCGACCGTCGCCGCGGTCCGCGACGCGCGCGCGCGCGTCCGCGCGACGGGCGCGCCCGCGCTCGTGGAGCTCATGACCTACCGCCTGAGCCACCACTCGACGTCCGACGACGCGTCCAAGTACCGCGGCGCCGACGAGCTCAAGGCGCTGAGCGTCCGCGCGCGCCACCCCGTCGACCGGCTCCGCGCGTACATGGCGGAGCGGGGCCACTGGGACGACGACGACGAGGCGTCGGCCCGCGCGGACACGCGCGCCGAGGTCCGCGCGGCGCTCGACGCCGCCGAGGCCAAGGACAAGCCCCACGTCGACACGCTCTTCGACGACGTCTACGACGAGCTCACGCCCGAGCTCGAGAAGCAGAAGGCCGCGCTCAACGCGTGGATGGCCGCCAAGGGGGAGTGACGCCCCGGGGATGATTATAAACAAGCGAGGACTAGATGGACTTATACCGGTACCGGAGGTCGCTCAGGCGCGACACGTCCGCGCCGAGGCCCGCGAGGTCCGCGTCGACGTAGACGGCGAGGGCCCACGCGGCGGGCGCGGCGGCCGACAGCCAGCACGCCGCGAACGCGTGCGCCGCGAAGCCCGCGCGCCAGCAAAAGATGGGCGCGACGGTCAGCGCCGCCGCGCCGCGGCAGCGCCGCGCGCCCGCGCAGCGGAGCGCGCCGCAGCCCAGGACGAGCGCCGTCGCCGCGTAGCCGGCGAGCATGCCGCGCCGCGGCACGGCGCCGCCGAGCGCGCGCTGGTGGTCGACGCCGTAGCGGTTCGGCGGCTCGCCGGGCGCGCCGACCGTCGCCGGCGCGAGCAAGGCGGCGACGAAGAGGCCGACGAAGACGAGCGCGCCGAGGGCCTCGATGGCCGCAAACACGAGCCGCGCGCGCGCGTCCAAGCGCCGCGCTTCCTGCTCGATGTCCTCCACGACCTTGGCCTGCTCGTCCTCGTCGAGCGGCTCCGCGCGCTCGTGCTCCTGCTGCGGGCGATGGCGCATTGCGACGCGCTGAGGACTCGCCAGCCGGTCGGACGCTGAGAACTCGCAGCCGACGGCGGCGGCGCGCGCGCGGAGAGCACGATGAGAGCGCCCGCGGCGAGAGCTGTGATGCTGAGGTAAAAATGCGGCGATCGTGCTGCTCCGCGGGCTCTATGTGCTCAAGCTGGCCCTCTGCTCCTCTCAACATCGTCTGTCGTTCCCTGAGCCGGCTGAACGCGAGTCGAGCGGCGCGGGCCGCGCCACCCGCCCCGAGACACCGCCGCCCCGCCCGCCTGTCGCAGCTCCCGAGCCAACGCACAGTCCGCCGCTGTTCCCTGTCTTGCTCGACCCGGAGCTGAACGACAGCCGCCCGCTCGAGCCGCTCACCACAGAGTTGGCGTTTGAGACGCCCGCTATGGCCCGATTCCGGCGACTCGTCGTCGCCCTCGCTTTCTCGCTCGCTTCTGGCGTCCAGATGCCGCGCAACAAGCGCGTCGCCGCGCGGACGTACGGCAAGCCGGCGCCCCGCCAGGCCAAGGTGTCGACGGCCCAGGCGGATATGCGGTCGCGGCTGGAACGGATGACTTCCAACTTCGACGAGCTCGTCGCCTGGTCCATCCGCGGCCGCGCGGACCTCGACGAGGCCGCGCGCAAAGCGTTCGGCGCGTCCGTGCGCTACTACATCCGGGTCATCACGATCGGCGTGCTGCTGCGCTGGTTCGTCGTCGAGCCGCGCTACATCCCGTCCCAGTCCATGGCGCCGACCTTCGCGCCGGGGGACCAGATCGCGATCGAGAAGATCTCGACGCTCTACCGGCGGCCGGAGCGGGACGAGGTCGTGCTCTTCCGGCCGCCGGAGGCCGCGGTCGAGATCATGGAGCGCAACGAGCGCACCGCGGCGCGGCGGCGGGGCCAGCAGCCGCGCGACCCGCGGTCCGCGCGGAAGCCCGAGGTCTTCGTGAAGCGCGTCGTCGCGGGGCCCGGCGACGTCGTCGAGGTCCGCGACGGCGCCGTCTTCGTCAACGGCCTGCCCCTCGACGACTCGAACTTCGTCGGGGGCAACCGGCCCGCCTACGAGCTCGGGCCCCTGGCCGTGCCGCCGGGCCAGCTCTTCGTGCTCGGCGACAACCGGAACCGGTCCTTCGACTCCCACGTCTGGGGCTTCGTGCCCCGGGACAACATCGTCGGCCACGTCATCCTCCGCTACTGGCCCCTGGAGCGATTCGGGCTCATAGAACATTAGCTGTGCGTTCGCGGCGTCGTGGACGTTGTTCGTGGTTCGTTCGTGGTGTGTGCCTGGGCGCGTGGGTATCGCGGGGACGCGGCGCGCCGCGCGCCGCGCGGGGCCGCTCGCGATCGATCAGACGACGCCGGGGACGAGGACGTAGGGCACGCGGGCCTTGTACGCGTCCCAGTCCGCGCCGTACTTGGCCGCGCAGCGCGCGTCGTCGCGCCACGCGCGGTGGACGATCATGGGCACGAAGAAGAGCGCGTACCAGTGGGGCGTCACGTCGGAGAAGCCGCAGATGAGCCCCCAGCTCAGCGCCTGGGCGACGTCGGCCGCGTAGTGGGGCTTCCGCGCGCGCGCGTACCAGCCGTCGACGAGGAGCTCGCCGCCCCCGGCCGTTTTCAGGAATCGCGGGTCGTCGAGCACGGCCCAGGGCAGATGCCAGGCCCGCCGGTCGACGACGACGCCCGCGCGCCGCAGCCGGAACTCGTTCTTCTGCGCGTTCGCCGTGTCGAAGACGTAGTACGCCGCGAGGAGCAAGGCGTAGACGGCGGCCGTGTACGCGGGCGCCTGGCCTTCGACGGCGTGCGCGAGGAGCCAGCGCGACGCCGCGCAGTAGGTCAGGGGCACGCCGCAGAGGTTCCAGAAGATGAGCATCCACCTACGAAGCGCGCTTCGTCGGAACGCGCTCGGAACTCGGGACGCGGGCGTCCACCCCCAGTGCTCGTGGAAGATGTCCCACGTCGTCGGCACGCAGTGGTCGCCCTTCGCGCAGGCGTTCGCGTAGAGGAAGTGCGCGAGCACCATGAAGGCGAGCTGCGGCGAGCACCGGCCCGCGGTTTCGTATTGCTTCGACGCCGCGGAGAGCGTGATCACGAACAAGAGGATCCACGGCACGCGCAGCTCGCTCCACATCTTGAGGTCGAGCGGCCCGACCCGGGGATTCAACGTGACGCCCATGAAGCCGTCGTACAGCGGCCGGCCCGAGTCGCGCTCCGCGAGATTCCGCGAGCGGCAGTAGCCGTACGTGAGCACCGCGACGCCGTCGCCGAAGATCACGGACCAGGTGAGCACGGACCCAAAGTGGTCCATCCACACCGCGAGGCGGAGGACGCCGGCGAGGTGGAGCGCCGCGAGTCCGGAAAGGAACGCGACCCAGACCGCGGGCCCGTTGCAGTTGTAAGTCAGCGCGCGGCCCTTGAGCGAGGGCAGGGGCCGGCCGCGGACGGTCGCGCCGGGGCAGAACGCGGAGAGGAGCGCCGTGGCGGCGAGGAAGCCCGCGTAGAGGCAAAAGCCCGTCGCCGTCGGCGCCGCTCCGGCGAGGCCGCGGCGCGCGCGCGACGCGTAGGAGAGCCAGGTCTCGTCGCAGCTCTTGAACGGCGATGTAGAAGCCTCGATCGAAAGGTAGAGGCCGTACACGACGCAGTGCGACAGCAATATGATGACGGCGACGCCGACCGGGCCGCCGAACTCGTCCGGCTCCTCGGGCTTTGGAATGACTCGCATCGTTTGATGAGGCATTGCTTGCGGCGGCGACGCCTTTGACGTCGTCGTCTGCGACGACACGGAGACCGTCGACGTCGGCGTAACGGAGACCGTCGACGTCGGCGTTATCTTGGCGTTGCCCATCGCGTTGCGGAGTTCTTGAGAACACCCGCCGCCGGTCACGAGGCGCGCAATCCTGGCGAGCGCAAGTCAAAATCATTGCCACTGGCGGTTCAAGGCCTCGCGGCCCGATGGGCGCGGAATAACCGCCCCTAAGCGCAGGATGAAGACGCCGGGGGAGGCCCTGCCCGGGGAAGACAACGCCCTCCTCGAGGCCATCGACGAACTGGAAAAGACCGCGGCGCTCCACGCGCGGGAGGAACAGCAGAACGCCGACGCCGAGCCGGCGCTCCTGCGGCGCATTCGGCGCTACCCGCACTCGCCGGACGTGAAGCGCATCGAGGAACTTCTGGCCACGAGAGCATCCCTCATGCTCGCGCGGCGGACGCTGCTCCGCCAGGAGGCCGAGGCCCTGCGGGTCAAGTGCCGGCTCGCCGTCGACGACTCGCGCGAAACCGCCGCGCGCGACGAGGCGTCGCCGCGCGCGCGGCGGTCCGTCGCCGTGACCGTGGCCCACCGCATCTCGACGCTCCTCGTCAACGAGCTCCACGGCGACGCGCCCCCGCCGGCGTCGCCCGCGGCGCGGCCGCGGTCGCTGAGCTTCTCGTCGGAGAGCGGCGTGCCAATCGCGCCGTCGTCGCCGCCCAAGTGGACGTCGTCGCCGCCGAAGGCGCCCCCGCCGCCGCCGAGGGCGCACCGCCGGTCGTCGTCGGACCGGACGCCCGCGTCGCCCGCGAAGTCGCCGAAATCGCTCGCTCTGAGCGAGACGGAGACGAAGCGCCGCATCAAGGAGCTGATGGCGAAGCAGGCGGCGATCCGCCGGTCCTTCGACGCCCCCGCGTCGCCGTCGGGCGACGCGCCGTCGTCGCCGTCGTCGCCCGCGTCGCTCCGACTCAGCGAGAGCGAGACGAAGCTCCGCATCGCGACGCTCATGGCCAAGCAGGCCGCGATCCGCGAGAAGAAGGCCGAGGTCGAGGCGCGCGAGGCGCGCGCGCCGCCGATTCCCACCCTGGCGCCGGGCGAGGCGCGCGGCCGGCCCCGGGAGCGCGCGCCGCGCGGCCGGCCCGAGGACCGGGACGCGGTCTGGCGCGCGGGCCGGGACTCGTCGGGCGACACGGCGTAACTGGACATAGTAATCAAGACCCATATTATTGGAACTCGCCGGGCGAAACCGGCGTAACTGGACATAGGAACCACGTTAGAATATCAGGAGGGGCTCGCCGACCTCGACGAGCTTCTCCAGCGTGCACTTGAGGTCGAAGACGCGGCTGAGGATGACCTTGAACATCTTCTGCACGTTGATGGACTCGTGCGCGGACGTGAAGATGCAGGGCGCCTTCATGGCCTTGGCGAACTTGCGCGCGTTGCGGTCGATCTCCGCCTGCTCCTCCGGCGGCAGCGTGACGAAGACGTCGTACTTGGTGCCGACGAGGAGCGCGAACGCCGATCGGTTCAGGCCGCGGACCTGGCGGTACCACTCCTTGATGGACGTGAGCGTGCTCTTGCGGCTCAGGTCGAACATGAAGAGCACGGCGGCGGCGTCGTTGCAGACGAGCGGCAGCATGCTCAGGAACTCGCGGTGGCCGCCGAGGTCCCAGATCGAGAACGTGATCTCCGTGTTCCGCAGCGTGATCGACTTCTCCATGAAGTTGACGCCGAGCGTCTGGATGTACTCGTCGTCGAGCCGGTTCTCGACGTACTTGACCATCATCGTCGTCTTCCCGACCTGGCTGTCGCCGACCATGCCCACCTTCACCATGACGTTGGGCTTCTCCGCCAGGGCCGCCATCGCTCGGTGTCGCGCCGCCGCGCGCGCGCGGCGCGAGACCGCCGCGCGCTCGACGGGTCCGCGAACCGCGCCGCGGGGTACGCGCAGCGCCGGCGTCGAAGGCCGCGAAGACACTCTCCAGACTCCGGCGGAATCTCGGCGCTCGAGTCGAGCCGGAAGAGCCGCCGGCGCGGCGGCTCGACGCCGTAGGCCACGGTCCGCGCCGCCCGCCACTCGAACGCAGAACACGTTGCGAGCTTGTACATTCGGGGGTCCCCCCCTCTCTCAGGGGAGGAGGGTCGTGAGGGCGGGGTAGAGGTGGTCCGCGGCGAGCGCGTCCGCCGCGCCGTCCCGGAGCCGCGCGAGGAGCGTCTTCGGCCGCGGGAGCCGGCCCTTGGCGTGGCCGACGAGCTCCTTGACCGCGTCGGGCGTCGCCTTGGCGTAGGCCTCGAGGGCCGACCGGGCGCGGGCCCGCGCGGCGTCGGACGCGGGGCCCGCGGCCGCGAGCCGCGCGCGGAGCGCGGCGACGTCGCGGAGGCTCGCGTACCTCCGCTCGGGCGCGGCCTCGCCGTGGGCCGTCGCGGCGAAGACGTCGGCGGCCCGCTCGACGCAGATCCAGCCGCCGGCGTCGTCGACGGCGGCGCCGATGGCGCCGTCCGCGAGGAGCGCCGCGAGGAAGCGGCGCGCGGACGCGGCCTCGAGCGTCCGCCGGAGCGGCGCGAGGCCCCGGTCGACGGCGCGCGCCGCCGCCGCGTAGGCGTCCGCGGGGGCGGGCTCGTCGTCGTCGTCGTCGCCGGCGCCGTCGGCGTCGAGGTGGTCGAGCGCGTGGCTCGCGAGCGCGGCGAGCGACGCGTCGCCCGTCGTCGCGGCGCCGTAGGCGAACGCGTCGCCGTCGGGCCCCGCGAGGACGACGATGTCCGGCACGGCGGACAGGGGCGCGTCGGGGAGCGCCGGCGACGCGCCGCCGGCGAGGGCCCGGAGCCGCGCGGCGCGCTCGAGCGACGCCTCCGTCGAGATCGGCAGGGGGCGCGGGTTCAGGAGCCGCCGCAGGTGGAAGCGCACGAGGCTCGACGCGAGCTCGTGGGCGCGGCGGCCGAGGCCGCCGGCCTCGCCGCGGAGCGCGCAGCGGAGCTCGTCCGCGTGGAACTTGGCCGCGGCCGCGGCCGCGGCGCCGCGGCGGCCCGCGCGCGCCGCGGCCGCCGCGACGGCGCCCGCGTCGCCCCGGAGCGCGTCGAGCGCGTCCGCGAGCGCCGCCGCGGCCTCCGGCGCGCCGCGCGCGAGGGCGTCGCGCGCCGTGACGAGGCCCAGGACCGCGTCGCAGAGCGCGGCCGTCTCCGCCTCGGAGCCCGCGCCGCCGTCCGTCGGCGGCGCGACGGCCGAGAAGTCGTGCTCGGCCCACGCGAGCCGCGCGGCCGGCGCGCCGCCGCAGAACGCCCGCTGCGTCGCCTCCGCCGCGCCCACGGCGCCGACCCAGGCCGCGACGCCCGCCGCGTCCGCGGCGTCCGCGGCGAGCACCGCGACGGCGACGGCGCAGAAGCCGACGCCCGGCGCGCCCGGCGCGCCCGCGAGCGCCGCGGCGCCCTCGACGGCCGCGTCGACGCGCGCCGCGGCGGCCGCGTCGACGACGGCCTCGGCGGGCGCCGGCGCGACGGCCTCGACGGCCTCGGCGGGCTCGACGGGCGCGTCCTCGACGGGGAACGTCCGCCGCGCCTCGGGGACCTCGACGGGCGACGACGACGACCGCTCGAGGAACCGCGCGTCGACGGTGCGCCGCCGCCGCCGCGCGCGCATCGTCGCCGCCGCGAGCCGCGCGTCGTCCTCGTCGTCGTCGCTCGACTCGCCCAGCTTCGGCGCCAGCGACTTCCGCGACGGCGCCTTCCCGGACGCCTTGCCCGAAGCGTTGGCCGAAGCGTCGCCCGAGGCCTCGCCCTCGCTCGACTCGCGCGGCGCCGCCGAGGTCTTCCCCTCGCTCGACTTCCGCGGCGCCGCCGGCGCCGAGGTCTTCCCCTCGCTCGACTTGCGGTTCGCCGCGTTCTCCTTGTCGACGCTCGACTTGCGGTTCGCCGCGTTCTCCTTGTCGACGCTCGCCTTGCGGCCGGACGCGGAGCCGACGCTCGACTTCCGGCCCGACGCCTCGCTCGAGAACCGGAGCCGCGCGGACCGCCGCCCCGGCCGGCCGCCGCAGCCCACGCTCAGGTCGCGCAGGACGAGGCTCGCGTCGCGCGGCGCCGCCTTCTTGACCGTCGGCGGCGCCTCCGGCGTCGCCTCGTCGTCGTCGTCGCCCGCCGCCGCTTCCGCGACGCGCTCCGCGGCCGGCGTCGCCTCCTCCGGCGTCGCCGCCTCGCTCTCCTCCGTCGCCACGGACGCCGCGGCGCGCGACGGGTGCGCGTCGCACCACGTCGCGTAGGCCTCCTCGTTCGACTCGCACGGGCCCGTCGTCCAGCCCTCCTCCTCGGCGGGGTCGACGACGTCGATCTCGACCTCCGCGGGCGGATCCGCGAGGTTCAGCACGCGCGCGAGCGCGAAGGCCAAAGGGTGGTCGTCGTCAGCGGCGTCGATGGAAGCTAAAGCTTCCGCACTGATGCTCGCGATGGTCTCCAGGCGCTGCGCGTCGGTCATAACGTCGTGATTCGCGACGCAGGTCTGGAACGCGTCGTCGTTCGTCGACGGTGTCGGCGTCATCGCAGTGCGCGCGGCGTCGGCGTAGGACAGCGTAGCCATTGATGCGACGGCGCGCGTAGCAGTCGCGGAGGGCCTGTCTGGTTGACGACGGCGCGTCCCGTTGACGACGGCGCGCGCGGCGGCCAGAGTCAACGTCTTTGGCCCCGTTTGGGACCGCGGGCAAACATCGACTCGAGCTCGAACCGGCCGATGGCTCTGTGCGTGGTGCTTGAAATGAGCAGCAGTTTAAATCGCTGAGTTCGTCGCGAGGAGAGGCGTAGCAACCGCCGCATGTCCGACTGGTGGGAAAAAGCCACCGGCGCCGCGTCGCGCAACGCTGCGAAGCAAGGCAAGCAGAGCAAGAAATTGAAACCGCGCAATGCGCCCAAGCAGAGCCTCATCGCGCCGAAACGGCCAAAGCTGAACGAGTCCAAGTTCGCGGACTGCCCAGTGTGCGGTGCGTCGATTCACGTCGACTTGATCAATCACCATCTCGACCTCGACTGTCCGGGACCGAACGAGCCGCGGCGACCGGACGACGCGCCGCCGCAGCCGGACGACGGCGCGCCGCCACCGGATGACAGCGACGCGCCGCCGCCGGACGAAGTCGCGCCGCGATCCGCCTCGCCGCCGCCGCCGCGATCCGCCTCGCCGCCGCCGCCGCGATCCGCATCGCCGCCGCCGCCGCGATCCGCCTCGCCGCCGCCGCGACAAGCAGCGCCGCCGCCGCCGCCGCGGCAACGATCCGCCGCGGAGTCGTCGCGCTTCGTCGACTGCCCGTCGTGCGGCGACTCGATCCTCAAGAGCGCGCTGAACCACCACCTCGACTTGCGCTGCCGAGGGCCGCGGGAGGCGGGGGCGGGCGGCGGCTCCGACGGCGGCTCCGACGACGGCTCCCCGGCGGCGCCGGCGACGGCCGCGTGCCCGCTCTGCGGCGTCACCGTGCCCCTGGCGGAGATCAACGCGCACATCGACGGCGGCTGCTGCGTCGCCGGCGCGCCCGCGGAGACGCCGACGCCGGCAGAAACGCCGCCGCCGGCGCGGAGCGAGGCGGACCTCCTCGAGCTCATGCGCGGCCAGCTGTCGTGCCCGCTCTGCCTCGACGTCTTCGACGACCCGGCGTCGCTGCCCTGCGCGCACACGTTCTGCCGCGAGTGCATCCTCCACTCCTTCGAGCGGAAGGACGGCAAGCACGAGTGCCCGATCTGCCGGCAGCCGTGCCGGAAGAAGTCCATCCAGCCCGCCGCGACGACGCGCGCGATCGTCGACCTCTACCGCCAGCGCCTCAAAGCCCCCTCCTAAATGTACTTCGCCGGGAGGCCGTAGTCGCCCAGCAGGCCCACCGGCGCCTCGAAGCCCCCTCCTAAATGTACTTCGCCGGGAGGACGTAGTCGTCGAGCAGGCCCACCGGCGCCTCAAGGCCCCCTCCTACATTTACTTCGCCGGGAGGACGTAGTCGTCGAGCAGGAGCTTGCGGAGCTCGAGCTTGGAGATCTTGCCCGTGCCCGTGAGCGGCAGCGGCCCGTCGAAGAAGATGACGTCGTCGGGGATCCACCACTTGGCGACCTTGCCGACGTAGAAATCCAGCAACTCCTGCTTCGTCGCCGTCGCCCCCGGCTTGAGGCGCGCGACGAGCACGGGCCGCTCGCCGTACGCGTCGTGCGGCGCCGCGATGACCGCCGCGCCCGGGCCGTCCGACGAGTCGATCGCGTCGTGCGCGTGCGCCTACGATGCGACGATCTCCCCCCCAAAAAAAGTTCTCGAAACGACGCACCAGACCCTCGAGCTCCGCGGACGAGATCCACTCGCCCCCGGACTTGACGACGTCCTTGGCGCGGTCGCGGATGGCCAACGCCCCCGTGGAAGAAATCGTCGCGACGTCGCCGGTCTTGAACCAGCCGTCGGCGTCGCAGGCGTCCTCGGCCGCGCCGTAGTAGCGGCGGATCGTCGCGGGCCCGCGGACCTCGAGCTCGCCCTGGCTCGACCCGTCGCGCGGGAGCGCGGCGCCCCCGTCGTCGACGACCCGCAGCTCGACGCCGAAGAGCTCGAAGCCCGCGGCGACGGGCGCGTCCGCGTCCGCCCGTCCGATGCCGTCGTCGCGGTGCGGGCCCATGACGCCGACGGGCGAGAGCTCCGTCATGCCCCACGAGCGCACGACGTGGCAGCCCCGGGCCTCGTAGCGCTCCGCGAGCGCCGGCGGCGTCGCCGCGCCGCCGACGACGACGCGGCCGTCCGCCGAGAAGAGCGCCGCGTCGCGCCGCGCCTCGAGCCCGTCAGCGAGCGCCATGAAGACCGTCGGCACGCCCGCGGCGAAGGTCACGCCCTCGTCGGCCGCGTACGAGCCCGCGACGGCCCCGTCCAGCGGCCCCGCGAGCAGGCAGAGCTTCGAGCCCGCGAGCGCGGCGGCCCAGGGCAGCCCCCACGCGTTCACGTGGAACATGGGCACGAAGGGCAGCGCCGCGTCGGCCTTGCGGAGGCCCATGGACGGCGCCGTGAGGGAGAAGAGCGTGTGGAGCATGGTGGACCGGTGGGAGAAGAGGCAGCCCTTCGGGTCGCCCGTGGTGCCCGACGTGTAACACAACCCGCTCGCCGCGGTCTCGTCCAAATCGTCGGCCCACGCCACGTCCTCGCCCAGGCGCCGCTCCAGGAGCGCGTCGTACTCGAGCCAGCCGCGCGCGCTCGCCTCCGCGGTCCGCGTGGCCCGGTCGTCGCCCGGCCGGCCGTCGGGGACCACGACGACGGCGCGGGGCGCGTAGTCGGCGGCGCACAGCGCCAAAACTCGCGCCAACAGGTCCGCGAAGCCGCCGTCGACGAGAATCGCGGTCGGCGCCGCGTGGGTGAAGATGTAGGCGAGCTGGTGCTCGTATAATCTGGGGTTCACCGTGTGGAGCACGAGCCCCGCGCCGGGCACGCCGAAATAGGCGTCGAAGTGCGCGCCGTGGTTAAAACAGAGCGACGCGACGCGGTCGCCGCGGGCGCAGCCGAGGTCCTTCGTCAAGGCCGCCGCGAGGGCGCCGGCGCGCAGGCGCGCCTCGCCGTAGGTCGTCCGCGCCGTCGCCGCGTCGTCGCTGCACCAGCGGCTCGTGATCTCGCGGGTGCCGTGGACGCGCGCCGCGTGGTCGATGATGTTCTGGATTAACAGTGGCTTGTCGTCCTGCATGAGGCCGTGGAGGCGCCGCCGCGCGAGCGGCATTGCAAGGCGGCTAGCTTGGGCAGCCCGCAGCCGCGCGAGAGCCCCCATCATCGTCTCGAAACTTGAAGAGGTTCAAAGTGCTATGTTGATGAGAAAAGCAAACAACAAGAAGCGCGCTCTCCGGACGAGATCTGACAATCATCCATTCTGCCGTGGACAGGAGCCCGTGCAAAACAGCCATGCCGTCGCGCTCCGTGCCGACGACGCCGTCGTCGGGCGGGTGGGGCTCGCCGCAGTCGGCGCGGCACTCGGCGGGCGAGGCCTTCGAGGAGGACCAGCAGCTGCCCGCCCGGAACCGCCTGCGCGTGCTCATCCGCAAGCACCTCGACAAGGTGAAGAACCGGCGCCTGCGGTCGCCCCGGGCGGCGCCGCCCCAGACGCCGGCGGGCTCCGGCCAGGAGACGGACGACGAGGAGGAGCGGCGGCCCCGCAAGCGCGCGCGCGGCGTCCCCGGGGAAGACCGGCGCCGCGGAACCGACCCCGGACCCCCCCCCAGGTACGAGCGGCTCGAGCGCGCCGTGCGGCGCCAGCTCTCCAAGGGCCGCGCCGCGCGCCGCAAGCTCAACGACCTCCGGAAGAAGATCGAGTCGCGCAAGGACCGCGCGCTCGCGCGGCGCCGCGAGCGCCGCCGCGCGCGGAGCGGCGCCGCGTCGCCGGCCCAGGAGGACCTGGGCTACGCCTCCGACGGCGGGAGCCCGCGCAAGGAGCCCCTGGGCGCCGTTCCCGCGCGCGCCCTGCCCTGGGAGGGCGCCGCGTCCACGGGCGCGCTGCTCACGCCGACCAAGGCCGAGGCGCCCGTCCTCTCCCGCGACCGGCTCCCGAGCGGCGACATGACGCCGCTGGACGTGTCCGAGGAGGAGCTCGAGGCGGAGCTGAGCGAGTCCGACGACGACAGCCTGGACGAGGACGAGGGCCCGACGCCCGACGCGCGCGCGGTCCAAGCCGGGGCAGCACAAGAGCGCGAAATTCCCAACTTCAAAGGCTCCGATCTCGGCCGTTTTCCACTCGTTTCGGCTGATTTTTGGACGAGCGATCATCTCTCGGAACGGTCTCGCAGCATGGATGCTTTTCCCGGAACGCGCGCGCGCGGCACACTCACGTTGAAGCGACGTTGAATCACTCTTTTCCCGCCCAGGTCCAAGCCGCGATCCTCGCGGCGCTCGGCGACGTCGACCGGAGCGTCCGCGCGCTCGCCTGCGGCGTGGCCGTCGCGGCGCTCCTCTGCGTCGATGCCTACGTGTCGTCCCCGGCCGCGGGCGTCGCCGGCATGGTGGCGGCGTTGGGCCCGCTCCGCGCGGCCGCGACGGTTATCGCGGTCGTCGGCGCCGCGCTCCAGGTCGACGGCGTCCGCCGCGCGTCCCTCCGCATGTCCGGCGCCGCCGTCGCGCGCGCGACGGGCGCGCGGCCGCCGGCGCCGGGCAAGCGGCACCCGAAGTCGCCGGGCCGGGCCGGCGCGCGGAAGCGCGCGGGGTCCAAGGACGGCGGCGTCGACGGCGCGCCGGCGCTCCGGGGCCTCGCGCGCGGCGAACGCGCGGGCTCGGGCGCGCCGCGGTCGAAGCGGCGCGACTCGCTCGAGTCCACGCCGACGTGGACGATCCCGCGCGTCGACGCGCCGGGCACGGAGAACTCGTGGCGCTTCGCCGACACGACGAAATTCAGCCTCCGGGGCGCCAACTACCTCCGCGACAAGGTCAAGGCGCCGTCCGCGCGCGGCGTCTACGAGTGCGTCGCCGTCCACGTCTTCCAGTCGCCGTCGGGCAACATGCCCGACATGCTCGCCAAGCACGCGCGCTTCCTGCCACCGCGGCGGCCCGGCGACCCGGACGCGCCGCTCGCGCTGCCGCGCGTCTTCGCGTTCAACATCTCCGTGCCCACGGAGGCGCCGTCCATGCGGGGCTGGAAGCCCCACAACCCCTGCTGGGTCATCCTCATCGTCATGCGCCTCACGGACGAGAGCGCCGCCGCGCTCCAGAAGCCCGAGCGCGAGTGGACGCCCGGCCTCCGGCTCGCGCGCGACTGGGTCGACAAGTCCGAGGACGACCCCTACTTCTCGTCGCGGCTCAAGGGCATCTTCATGTGCCACCCGCTCAAGGGCGAGAAGCTCCCGAGCCTGCTCGACAAGTGGAACGGCAAGCCCGTGCTCATGGCCGCGTCCGGCGGCCTCGGCCGGCGCCCGGGCATCTCGACGTTCCACCGCGCGCGCGACGCCGTCGAGGTCGGCCTCAACATCGGCGAGTCCTTCTCCTACATGGGCCGCGGCGCCGTCTACATGATGATCGGCAAGCTCGCGACGCTCGACTGCGACGTCTGCTTCACCGTCGAGGGCCGCGCGGACGACGAGCTGCCCGAGGTCGTCCTCGGCGCGTCGACGTTCTCCGCCCTCAAGCTCTCGGAGAAGTTCGCCAACCTCATGCCCCCGACGTCCTAGGGCGCCCCTTTCTCTCTCGTAACCGCACCCCCGCGCTCCGGCCCGAGGTTAGTAGCAGCTCCCGACCTGGTCGTCCTCGGCGAAGGCCAACGCCGGTCGGAAGGCGGCGTTCTGCTTGTATCGCGCCTCGAAGAGGTCCGGGTAGGACGTGATCTTCTGGACGAGGCACCGCGCGGCCTCGGCGATGTTGAAGCCGGTCTTCGCGCTGACGTCGAACCAGGCGACGAAGCCCCACTGGCCGCAGAAGCGGTCGAGCTCCGCCGTGTCCGCCGTCGCCGTCTCGATGTCGCACTTGTTGCCGAGGAGCACGACGGGCACGGGCTCGTCGTTGCTCAGCGCCACCTTGTCGTCGATCTCCCGCTTCCACGCCGTCACGGTGTCGAAGGTCGTCGGCCGCGTCACGTCGTAGACGAGGAGCACGCCGAAGGTGTCGCGGTAGTAGACCTTGGCGATGCTCCCCAGCGTCGTCTCCGCGCCGGCGACGTCCCAGAGCTGGAGCCGCACGGTCTGGCCGTCGACGTCGATCTCTTTCAGCGCGAAGTCGACGCCCGTCGTCGACTTGTAGCGGCTCGTGAACTCGTCGCGCACGAGCTGGCGGATCAGCGCCGTCTTCCCCACGGCCTTGTCGCCGAGCACGAGGATCTTCACCGGCAGCGACGCCGGGTCCGCGGGCGACGCCTCGGGCTGGAAGTTGGCCATGGACGGGCGCGCGCGCGCGGCGCAGGCGGCGCGGCTCCGGGAAAGGGCGGGCGCGTCGCTGCGGCGACGGCGGCGAGCACCGGCGGGATCGTCGAGGGCCTCGACAACAGCGACGACGACGAGACGGCCTGCTGAGATGCGCCCCGCCCCACCTTTGCCACAGCCTGATTTTCTCTGTGAGGCAACATCTCTTCAAGGAGCTGGCAATATCCGCCTCGGCAAAGAGGCCTCGAAGGCAGGCCTAGGCACGAGTCGCTTCTTTGTCAACTTTCGGGAGTTTACCCGATGTTGAACGACAAGCACCGACGACCGCCTCCACTAGTTAGGCGGCTCGGCGGTGCCCGCGACGACGGCCGCGTGCGTCTCCGCGGCGGCCATGGACACGTCGAGGAGCGTGTCCGCGAGCGCGCCGACGGCGTCCGCGTTCGCGGCGCTCGCCGTGCCCGCCTTGGCCCGCGCGTAGACGCCGCGCACGATGGCCGCGATGCGGAAGTAGGACACGGCCGTGAAGAGGTCGAGGTGCGGCAGCGCCTTCGTGGCGAGCTTCGAGAGCACGTCCGCGCGCGCCTCGTCCGCGATCGCCCGCGCGTACGTGTCGAGCAGGTCCGCGAGCTTCGGCACGCCGTGCGCGCCGTGGTCCAGGCCCCGGAAGCCCGTGAGCGGCCCCACGGGCAGCGGCGGGATGGCGTAGGGCATCGCGATGTAGGCGACGTCGCCGACGGGGTGCCCGAGCGCCGCGAGCTCCCAATCGAGCAGCGCGACGACGTCGGCCGAATCCTCCGCGAAGATCATGTTGTCCGTGCGCAGGTCGCCGTGGGCCACGAAGAGCTCGCCCGGCGCCACGACGGTCTCGTCGACGTCGGCCGCGTGGGCCTCGCAGGCCGCGCGGAGCGCGTCGCCGTGCGCGGAGACCTCGGCGCTCGTCGCCTCGCCGAGCTTCTCGTCGGCGCCGGCGTACTGGCGCGTCCACGTCTTCACCTGGCGGCCGAGGTAGCCGGCCTTGGGCGGGCCGCCGAGGCGCTCCACGAGCGCGGCCGGCGGCGCCGCGCCGTGCAACTTCGCGGCGACGCCCATCGCGCTCGCGAAGATCGCCGGCCGCTCGGACGCGTCCGCGGCCTCCAGATAAGGGTCGCGGAAGTGGCGGCCCGCCGCGTAGTCGTAAACCCAAAAGTCCGTGCCGAGCACGGCCCTGTCCTCGCAGAGCGCGCGCGCGCGCGGCGCCGGCACGCCCGACGGCCGCAGGTGCTCCGCGAACGCGTGCTCGCGGCCGACGTCGTGGGCGCCGCGGAGCAGCGCGCCCTTGGGCTGCTTGCGCACGACGACGGCGCCGCCGTCCCAGCGCACCGTGAACGTCGGGTTCGACTGGCCGTGCGAGAACTGGCCGATGGCGACGCCGTCCCCGTCGGCGGGCGAGCCGACGATGGGATGCAGGTACGCGAGGAGCGGCGCGGCGTCGAACTCGTGGCCCTTGCGGATCTTCGTCTCGCTGCCCTTGGCGCGCTTCTCGAGGAAGCGGCGCAGCAGCAGCGCGCTCTCGGGGAAGGCGCCGCAGAGCTGGGCGACGCGCTTCATCATCGTTTGTTTCGCCGCTGCGAGCGCGGCGGTAGTATGTCGCGGTCTTTGCCGACGAGAGCGACTAGCTCTCGGTGCCGCTGCGCGGTAGATCGCGTTGCTGCGGCAAGCAGCGCGTCGAGGGCGAGCTGCGAGAGCTACGGCATCATCCTATGATGCCTTTTAGTTTGCACCCTCGGCATTTGAGCGTAACGCTCTCCCGAGCTGCCCAATCTGTTGCGTTCTCGCTCGGCGTCCTCGTCGCCAGCTCGAAACGCATGCCGCGCCCGAAGAAGCCGCGGCCCCAGTCGGCGCCGCCCCTGCGCCTCGTCTCGTTGAACGTGCGCAGCGGCCGCACGTCGCGCCAGGAGATCCGCTACTCGACGAGCAAGGACGACACCGTCGACGTCGCGCGCCAGGAGTACCGGCGCCCGCCGAGCGGGCGGCCGCCGCGGCCGCGCCGGTCCGCGCCGCGGCCCCCGACGCCCGCGAGCCTGCCGCTCGTCGACGGCGCGCCGCCGACGCCGCGCATCGACGCGCCGAAGCTGACCGAGCAGAAGATGCGCGACTACGGCTACGGCGTGCCCCAGTGGAGCCCCTACTACCGGCCCGCGGGCTACGTGCCCGAGGCCGCCGCGCGGCCGAGCAGCCGCGACTACGGCCACTTCCCCGCGTCCCAGTCCCTGAGCCCGGCGCTGCAGATGCGAGCGCGCGCGCGAACATCAAGGAGATGAAGGGCCGCGCGACGGTGGACCACCTCTGGGAGACCATGGGCTCGCGGCCCAAGTGCGTCAACGACCTGCACTGGATCGAGGTCGCGCGGGAGCAGGCGGCCCTCGAGGAGGCGCACCACAGGAAGCTCGCCGGCGAGACCGCGTAGTCGCCCCGCGCGTCCGCCGGCGCGGCGCTTCCTCGCGAAGCCGGCCCCCGGCGGCGCCGCCCCCCATGTCCCGCTCGGCTAAGCGGCCCCCGTGTTCAAAGCCAGGTTAGTGCCAGAGCGCGTCGCTGTCGTCGCCGTCGTCGTCGTCGATGACGATGGAGCGCCGCGCGGACTTGCCCTCGGGGTCGTCGTCGGAGTCCGGGCCCGTCCGCGACGCCGCGCGCGGTCGGTTCGGCCTGAGGCGGCCGCGCGGCGGCGGCGGCTCGTCGTCGTCGTCGTCGTCGTCGAGGGACGGCGAGCGCGCGCGGTTCGACTTGAGCCGGCCGCCGCGCGTCGGTCGAGGCGCGGCGTCGTCGCCGTCGTCGTCGACGACGATCGTCTCCCGTCGCCGCGGCGTCGGGTCCTCGTCCTCGTCGGACTCGACGACGATGCGGCGCCGCGGCTTCTTCTTCTCCGGCGGCGGGTCGTCCGAGTCCGAGTCCGCGGCCAGCGAGCGCCGCTTCTTCAGCCGACCGCCGGAAGACACGGGCACGACGACGTCGTCCGCGGACGCGCGCTTCTTCGGCCGCCCGCCGGACGCCGGCGGCGCGACGTCGATGGACGACACGTCCGAGTCGCTCTCCGGCGGCGGCGCCTGCTGCTTCTTCTTCTTCGCCTTCTTCGGCGACGGCGGCTCGCGCCAGTCGTCCTCGTCCTCGTCGTATCGCTCGAGCAGCTCCGCGAGGCCCCGCTGGCTCGCGTTGCCGCCGGACGACCGGCGGCCGCACTCCTCGGCGTCGTCGCGGAAGGTCCGCGCCTCGTCCTTGTCCACGAGCTCCGCCTCGCGCTCCTCGTGGCGCGGCTGCGCGTACCACGGCTCGGCCTTCTCCTGGCGCCGGCCGCTGTTCTTCCGCCGCTTGTGGTACTCCTTGGCCGTCTCCTCGCGCGCCTCGTCGTCGTCCTCGTTCTCGAGGTTGCGCTGCGCCGTCAGCTCGAGCTGCTCGATGTAGAAGCGGTGGTCGCCCGACGTGTGGAGCAGGCAGTACGCCTCCAGGCCGCAGTTCGCGCCGCGCTTCTGCACGGCCGAGAACGAGTCCTGGTGCACGTCCTTGGCGCAGAGGCAGCAGAAGAGGTAGCCCGGCGGCGGGCCGGCGACCTCGTCGTCGCTCTCCTCCTCGTCGGAGGAGGAGGAGCTGCTGCTGTCCGCCTTCTTCGCCGGCTTCCGGGGCCGCCGGCGGTCGTCGTCGTCGGAGGAGGAGCTGCTCTGCTCGTCCTCCTCGGACTCCTCCTCCTCCGACTCGTCGCTGTCGACGATGAAGTCCTCCAGGTCCTTCGGCACACCCTTCTTGGCACGCGCCATCGCGTTCAAAGCCTGGCCGAGCCTTGCCACAGCCCTGCGCAGGCGAAAGGTGCCCCTATGAGGCCGTGCGAGCAGCAGCCGGGCAGCATGTTCGGAGAGCGCTCGTCCCGATGACAAACAACAGGCCGTAGCTCGACGCAGCATGGTGGCCTACTACAGCGTCCGTCACTACAACATGGTGCACCATCCCCGAAGCGGCCGAATCGGCTTTGGAGGAGCCGAATTGACGAAAAACCTGGGCGAATTCGCGCCGGAAGCAAATGAACCGACGGAGCCATTGGAACCGACATCGCCGCGGCCCAAGGAAGCACCGCGACGTGAAACATCGACCCACAAGCTCCCGCTGCAGGATCTCTGCGCCCTGGACGCCTTCCGGAGCTGCGGGCTGCTCGACAGCACGACGCTCCTGCGCCTCAGCGAGGTCGACCGCTGGACGTCTCGCGAGGGCGTGACGCCCGAGCTCTTCGAGCCCGACGTCTGCGTCCACTGCGGGAGCACGTTCTCGCCGCTCGAGAACCGCGCGGAGGCCTGCGTGCCCATCCGGAACAAGAAGCACCGGCGCCACAAGGGCGAACGGGCCGCGACGGCGCGCGAGCGCCGCAACCACCACGCGTTGATCGAGCAGCGAAGGCGCATCGCGCGCGGCGACAAGTTCGTCCTCGGCGACGACCGCTACGCGGCCTGCGACCGCTGCGGCGACCGCTATTTGCCCTACCGCGTCTCCGACGACGCCTGGCGCGAGGCCGTCCCGGAGCGCGAGCGACACGCGAGCCTCTGCATGGCGTGCTACCTCGGGGAGCCGCGGCGCGAGCGGCGGCGCGCGCTCCTCGTCGCCGGCCTCGTCGCCGCGCTCATCGCCGCGCTGCGGAGCGCGCTCTCCTGCTTTAGGAGTTCGAATTAGCGACAGGTCGCGGTCCCGGGGAAGCCGCCGGGCGGCGCCCAGAGGACCTTGCACTCTCGCGGCGCGCCCGTGTTGTTGACGGCGACCAGCGACGACGCGGCTGCCCATCGCACGTCCGGAAGCCTTGCGGCATGAACTCGCCGTTTGGTTTCACGCGACTTTGGGGCAGCCTTCCACGAAGAAGCATGTACGACGCCGTGAGCTGCGAGGGCGGCGTCTGGGAGCGGCTCGCCGAGTGCGTCGAGGCGCCCGTGCGCCAGCTCGTGCCGCTCAACAAGTCCTGGGCGGCGCTGGCGCGGGACGACCAGTCGGCGCTCTGGCGCGTGCTCCTGCGGCGGCTGCCCGGGCGCCGCGGCGTCCACGCGCCGTGCGACGGCGACGTCGTCCGGTGCGGCGAGGCCCGGACCTGGAGGGACGCCTTCGAGGGCCTGGAGACGGCGCGCTACTGCTGGGAGGCCGGCGGCGGGCCCGCGCGCCGCGTCTTCCGCATCACCGTCGCCGTGCGGTTCCGGCCGACGGTGCGCGACGCGGGCGGCGACGACGACGCCGCGGCCAAGGTGACCATGTGCGACCCGGTGTCCCGCCCGGAAATAACGCCCGGAAGAAGACGCGCGACTCCGTAGGCCGCTGCACCAGCGCCTCGCGGCCATGCGCGCGGGCTGCGAGGGCGCCTTCGACCGCCGCGCGGCGCTGCGGAAGGTCCTCTGCGAGGACCAGAACCGTTCGCCGGCGTCCGACTTCGGCGCCGTCGTCGAGAAGCAAAAGGGCGCGCCGGCGCCGAAACAGGTGGAGCTGGCGAAGGCGTCGTCCGCGGACCGGTCCGCGGCCGTGCTGCGCGTCGACGACGCGGAGAAGGAGATCCTGACCATCGCGCCGGGCTGCGGCCTCCGGTCCTTCCGGTTCGACGACGTCTTCGAGGCCGCGCGCGGCCAGGCCTTTGTGTACGACGCCGTCGCGCGGCCGCTCGTCTGCGACCTGGTCAACCTGAAGAACGGCACGCTCTTCGCCTTCGGGCAGACGGGCTCGGGCAAGACGCACTCCGTCTTCGGCGGCGACGGCGGCGGCGCGGACGCGCGCGGCGTCGTGCCGCGCATGCTCGCGGAGATCCTCGGCGCGGCGAAGGCCCTGGAGCGCTTCGCGCCGAAACTCGCCATGTCCTACGTCGAGATCGACGGCGACGAGCTGACGGATCTGCTAAAGGACGACGCGAAGGTCGCGCAGAACGCCGCGGCGGCGCAGCGCTGGGTGCTCGAGGGCCACGCGGCCGTCCACGTGGAAAGCCTCGACGGGGCGCTCGCGCTCCTCGACGCGGGCCACGCGCGCAAGAAGCGCGCGGCGACGAGGATGAACGAGCGGTCGTCGCGCGCGCACGCGGTGCTCGTGCTCACGCTCACTCGCACTTTGTGCGACGGCGGCCGACGGTCCGCGTCGCTCTTCGTCGCGGACCTCGGCGGCTCCGAGCAGCTCAAGCGCTCCAAGGCCGACGCGGACATCACCAAGGCCGCGGGCAAGGCGAACGACGACGACGAGGGCGCGGGCTGGGCCGAGTACTACGCGCAGCGGTCGCGGCTTCAGGAGGCGCAGAAGATCAATTTGGGCCTCTTCGCGCTGAAGCGGGTCGTCCGCGCGCTCCGCCGGGGCTCCAAGTTCGTGCCCTGGATGGACTCGAAGCTCACGATGCTCCTGCGGCCGGGTTTGGGCGGCGGCGCGCGGACCGCGTGTCTGGTGTGCGCGGCGCCCGAGCCCCGGACTGTGTGGAAATCAACCACTGGTTTGGGGGGTCCCCACCAAACTTCAGAACTCTCTATCTCAATCAAATCGACGTCGATTCGGCTGATTTTTGGACGGATCGATTGCTCTCGTCGATTTCTCGAAGCATAGAAGAAGAGCTCGCGTCGAAACCGTCGCATACGCTCACATTGAAGTCGGGTTGAAGATTTGATTTGCACACAGGCCCCGGAACGCGCTCGAGACCGTCCACGCGCTCCGCTTCGGCGAGCAGTGCGGGGCGCTGGAGACGGAGCAGCAGGGCGGGTCCGCCTTCACGAAAGCCATCGAGGCGCTCAACGCGAAGATCGCGGCCGTCCAGAAGGCCATCGAGGCCAAGGAGCGCTGGGAGGAGCGCGCGCGCGTCGTCACGTCCAAAATCGGCACGTACGACGACATGGAGAACGAGACCTGGGGCGGCCAGTTCGAGAAGGTCGGCAAGAAGTGGAAGCGCGCCGAATCGACGACGGACCACGCCACGGTCACGCACGCCGTCGTCGGCCGGGTGCTCGTCGGCGCGGAGGCGGAGCGCCGCGACCTCGAGGCGCTCCTCGGCCAGAAGCGCGCCCTCATCGCCCACGCGGCCTAGATCCTTTAAGCCTCCTCACTCGTTCGGGTCGAGGTAGCCCTCGAAGGACTCCTTCTCCTTGCGCCGCGCGCGCTGCTCCTTCTCGTCGACGAGCTCGAGGTCGAGCCGCGCGCGCCGGTTCTCCGGGTCGAGGACGAGCACCTTCTCCAGGGCGCCGCGCGCGTCGTCGAGGTTGTCGAGGTGCATGGACGCGTGGCCCATGCGGAACAAGGCCTTGAGCGAGTCCGGGTCGCGGTTCAGCACCTCGCGCGCGTCGTTGCGGCAGAGCAGGTAGTTCTTGAGCTTCATGTGCGCCGCCGCGCGGTTCAGCAGCACGCCCACCTTCTTGCCCCGCAGCTCCTTGAGCTCGTCGTCCGTCACGTAGGTGTCGCTCGAGCCCGTCTCGACCGCGCGGTCGTAGCGGCGGATCGCGCGCGCGTAGTCGCCCGCGGCGTAGCGCCGGTTGCCCATCTTCTTGAACTCGTCGCAGTGGTCGAGCTTCGCGCGGTTCCGGATCTCCCACATCTCCGGCAGGCGCTCCAAATTGTGGATCTCGAGCGTCGCGACGAGGTCGACGTTCTTCGCGCAGTTGGGCACGCAGTCCTCGACGTGGGGGTCCCGGTCGTCGTAGCCGTAGCGCCGGTCGATGTAGACCGTCGCGCGCTCGCCCATCTTCATGGACCGGACCGCGATGTCGATGCCGCGGCACAGGGGCTTGTAGGGCTCCGAGTCGTCGTAGGAGCCCGTCGGCGTGCCGCAGTCGTCCTCGTCGAGGCGCCAGGACGTCGACGGCGCGGCCTTGACCCAGTCGTTCTTCTCGTCGTCGGTCTTGTGCTCCACGCGCGGGTCGCGGATGTCGCACATGTCGCCGTAGGTCATCGCGTACGTGTTCGACTTGCCCGCGACCATGACCTGGCCCCGGACGACGACGACGTCCGCGTGGGCCGGGATCTGCCACTTGGACGCGCCGGCGAACTTGTTGATCTCCTTGCGGATCATGCCCGGGTCCCGCTCGTGGCAGTCGATGAACTCGTGCCAGGACCGGAGCTTCACGAGGCACTCGAGCGTGCCGCCCTCGGGGATCGCGTCGACGCCCTCGTAGTGCTCGACGGCCTGCTTGCTCATGACCGCGTGGACGACGTCGTTCTGGAAGACGTTCTCCAGCAGCACCCGCAGGCCCTTGGGGTAGCCGGGCTTGCGCTCGCGCTCGTGCGCGTACCACACGGCCCCGACGTTCGCCAGCGGCCGGTCCAGGGGCTTGTCGCTCGTGCCCGTGACCCAGAGCTCGAAGTCGAAGGTGATCGTCGACTTGTCGTGGGGGCTCAGGAAGCCCCGGGGCCGCGACGCGCCCTTCGTCACGCGCCGCGTCAGCACGGACCCGTCCATCTCGGGCGACACGTCCTTGCCGTCCGTGAACTTCAGCAGCTCCAGCTCGAAGCAGAGCGCGGCGTGCTTGGGGATCTTCGGCGGGTTGCCCTCCTCGCCCAGGCCCTTGTGGCCGGCCATCCAGACGTACGCGACCTCGCCGCGCCGCATGCGGCGCACGGCGTCGCTGAGGCCCTTGACGGCGCCGCCGCCGCCGACGAGGAACTGGTAGGGCTCGCCGCCCTCCTTCGAGTCCTCGAACTCGCCCTCCTTGCACGGGTTCTCCGCGAGCCAGCCGCGCTTGTGCGTCGTGCACTCGTCGCCGTCGACGGGGCTCTTCACGTGCCGCGCGCGCGCCGCCTTCTTCGTGAGTTTGAGCACGGACCCATCGCCGCAGCAGTCGACGACGCCCTCGTCGCCGAGCTTCAGCACCGGGAACGCCGGCGGCCGCCGCGGCATGCCGCCCGCGACGCTGGTGGATGGGCAGCGTCGAAGTAACTTAGTTAACTTATTGAGGCGAGCGGCACCGTCTGTGCACCTGAGCAGCAACTGACCCGCGGCGTGCAAAAGCATGGGCTCGCGCCCCACGCCGACAACGACGCTCGCAGCGCTCGCGCTGCTCGCCAGCACCTACGCCCTCGAGACGCCGGTGACCGCGGCCAAGCTCCAGTGGCGGCAGCCCGTGCGCCAAACCACCGTCGCGCTGCTCACGGAGACGGAGGACGCCATGCAGAGCGCCCACGCCATGTGGCCCGTGGCCGTGGCCATGAACGACATGCTCGACGGCGTCGGCGGCGACTCCGTCATCGCGGCGCTGCCCTTCGCGACGGGCGCCGAGTGCCGGACCTTCGGCCTCCGGCGCTACGTCCGCGCGGGCGCCGCGTGGGCGCTCGCGTCCGCGGCGAGCGTCGGCGCCTGCCGCGACGCGGCCGAGGCGCTCTGCGCGCGGACGGGGTTCCGCGACATCGCGCTCCGGTGCGCGGAGCTATCCGTCGACGTCGAGCGGCGCGACGGCGGCGTGTCGCTCGCGGGCTTCCCCTGCGAGGGCGCGAGCCTCGACGCGGGCTCGGTCGCGGACCTCGCGGCGGCGCTCAAGCTCCCGGCGGCGGCGGTGGTCTTCGCCGGCAAGACGGAGACGGGATCGTTGGTCGTCGAGTGCGCGGACGCGGACGCGCTGCGGACCGCGGCGCGGCCGAGCGACCTTCGCGGCGCGAAGCGGTGGCTGCTGACCGCCGCGGAGAGCGACGACGCCTTCGCGTCGCGCGCGTTCCTGGACGACGCCTCGGACGACGGCCTGACGCCCGCGGCGTGCGCCCTGGCGCTCTTCTGGGCCGCGCGGCGCGAGCGGCCGCTCGACCGGCCGGCGGCGCTCGCGCACGACGGCGCCGCGCTGTCCCTGGTGCTCGTGCCCCCGAAGGCGCCCAAGTTCGGCGGCCGCAAGCGGAAGCACGTGTCGCGCCTCCCCTCGGTCACGGTCACCCTCGCGCCTTAGCCGCTCTCGAGCTCGTCGTCGATGAAGCCGTTGAGGAGCGCGGCGAAGCCCGTCGGCTTCGCCGCGCCGTTCGTCGCGTCCGGCGCCGCGGGGACGGGGTCCGGCCGGTGCAGGAGCGCGTCCTTGAGCTTCGCGACCTCGCAGACGGCGGCGGCGGCGGCCGCGCGCGCCGCGCGCGCCTCCGCGGCCGCGCGCGCGGCGCCGAGGTCCGCCTTCGTCAGGTCCGCGGCCCTCTCGTCCTTCTCCTTGACGAGGTCCTCGTTCGCCGCCCGGGCGTGCTCCAGCTCCGTCTCGAGCTCGTAGACGCGGTCCAGGTGCACTTTTTTCGCTTTGGCTTTATCCTCGTCGGCGACGGCCTGAAACCGCCGCACGACCGCCTCCAAGTTCCGGTGCTTCTGCAGCGCCCGCTCCCTGTCGGACGCCGCGACCCGCAGGTCGGCCTCGACGGCGGCGAGCCGCTCCATGGCCGCCTTCGCCGCGCCCGTGCCGTCGGACGCGCGATGCCGCGCGTCGTCGAGCCGCCGCCGCGACTGTTTCTCGCGCGACTCGAGGTCGCGCGCCGCGCGGCGCCACGCGTCCAATTCCCGCAGCGCGGCCTGGCCCGCGGCCGCGGCGGCGCGGTGCCGGTCCGCGGCGAGCTCGAGGCGCTTCTCGACGAGGTCTTGTCTTTCTCTTTCGGCGTTCGCGCTCTCCGTCGACGCGGCGGCGCGCCTCTTCTCGTCCGCGGCCTCCGTCGCCTTCTGGCCGGCGAGCGACCGCGCGGACGCGACGACGTCCCGCAGCTGCGCCGCCTCCGCGCCGTGCGCCTCGCGCGCGGCCTCGAAGCGCTGGCGCAGGGTCGCGAGCTCCTTT